TTTAATCACAATCAAAAAAAAAAAAGAACTTCGGGGAAGGGAGGGAGGGAGGGGATGGTAGGGGGAAAACAATGGAGGGGCTAACAATGTTCAAGAGGAAGTGTACTCATTACCTCACTCATGTATCTGTAACCCTCTGTATAGTATCTTTACAATAAAAAAATAATTAAAAAAATACTAATAAATACTTTTTATCACTTTGCAAAAAAAAAGTGGTGTGTTTACAAGCAACACACTGCAGTTGTGAACGGAGGGTTCTCTGATCTGCACTTTGATTGCTTCTTGCTCCTTCAACCAGAGCAAGGGGCACACTTCATGCTGACTCTAGAGACAGCACAGCCCACAAGACGAGGCCTCTGCCACCAGGAAGACCCCAGTTCAGGGACAATTGAGGTCAAGATCACACATCTTCTGATCTTAAAATCCCATTTTAAAATTGTTTGCCAATATAACAATGAAACTATTTCTAGATTGTACACTGAACCCAAAGCCTGCCCTTAGCTCCACATTTCCAGGAGAGCTTGCTCAATCAACACCAGAGGAAGGATGATTCAGGAGCTGCCCCAAGATAGCAGCCACACATGGGGCCATGAGGACCCACAGTCTGCTCTGGCCTCAGCGAGGTTTCCTGAACCATCAGGCCCAAGACATCTCAGGTCCTCAGTCTGCATTTCAGTGCTCACCCTGGAGGGTCAAGGACCAATGACTAATCAGTGCAAGACAACTGTGTTTCCCAAAATATGGTGGTGTCGTAAATTTAGACAGCTAAAAGGGATGGCACACAAAACCAAAGGGAATAAAAATCCAAAACATCTAAATGCAGAGAGTATAGAATAAATGATGGCAGATGCATACAGTCATCCTAAATCTTCATAGACACCCACCTGTCACCCACGAGCATTCACACACACACACACACACACACACACACACACACACACACACACACACACTTTGGCCTGTCTATGCAGGATTAGTTGCAACATCCAAACAAAACATAATCCATAGATGCTCAAGGCCCTGATAAGAATTTATAACATGAAAACAAACTTTACAACTTCGGCGGGGGAGGGAGGGAGCAGGCAGGTGAGGGGAGAGAAGGGATGGTACAGGGAAAACAAAGGAGGAGGCAACAATGCTCAATAAGAAATGTCCTCGTTACCTTGCTTATGTAACCATAACTGCTCTGTACAGTATCTTTTACAATAAAAAATGTACAAAAAATCACAATTCAACTGAACAACAGTCATGTACCAGTAGATTATAAATACTCAAGTTCTGCCTACCAAAAACAAAAAGAAATGGCAGACTATTTGCCAAAGACTTAAGTATAACCTAGCATATACTTTAAAACATCTCTACATTATTATATTATAGGTACGCCTAAAATATAAATTCAGCATAATTCTTATATTTAACTGTTTGGAATATATTCAATACTGCTGTATAATCTGATACTGTTTCATATTTTGCAAAGGGTTTTGAGCCACAAGTGACTGAAATCAATCAATCTGTCCTTTAAAATTAACACCCAGCTGGGTGCTGGAGAATCATGACTGTCATCCTAGCTATTCAGAAGGTTGAGATTTGAGGAACACAGTTCAAAGCCAGCCCTGGCAGGAAAATCCAAGAGATTCTTATCTCCAATTAACCACCAGAAAACCAGAAGTCGTTCTATGGCTCAAAGTGGTAAAGCACTAGCCTTGAGCACAAAAGAGCTCAGGAACAGTGCCAGGTCCTGAGTTCAAGCACCATGACTGAAAAGACAACAAGAAAAAATAAAATAAAATAAAATCCAGTACAATTACATGCATAGAAGTATACCCTATCACTGACAAATGATTACTTCTAGACTTGGGATTTGTATCCTTTTTTCTGGTCCATTTTTACAATTTTGTCCATTTGTCATGCTTGTAATATAAAAAAATTGCTGAAAGCCAGGTGCCGGTGGCTCACGCCTGTAATCCTAGCTACTGAGGAGGCTGAGATCTGAGGATCACCGTTCAAAGCCAGCCCAGGCAGAAAAGTCAGTGATACTCTTATCTCCAATTAACCACTAGAAAACCCAAAGTGGTGCTGTAGCTCAAGTGGTAGAGCGCTCGCCTTGAGCTGAAGAGCTGAAGGACAGTGCCTAGGCCCAGAGTTCAAGCCCCATGAACAAAAAAAAATTGCTAAAGATAAACACATTTGTGCAAATCATTGAACAAGAACACTATGCCTTCTGTGCTAAGGGCCACGCAGGTGCTGGAAGTGACCCCCATCTGGGACGGCATCTTTCTTGCCCCACTTACCTCTCAGGGCGGAATTCCTCAGGCTCTGGCCAGTACTTGGCGTCCCGTTGAAGAGCGTAAGTTGGTACCATCACCACGGTGTTTTTGGGAATAACCACTCCGCTGATTTCCACATCTGCCTTACAGGCCCTCTCAAGTCGGCCAGCAATGGGGTACAGCCTGAGAACCTCGTTCACCACCATGTCCACATACTCCATCTCCATCACGGCATCATAGGTGACAGGTGCCTGGCAAGCAAGGAACAGATGTTCATTAGTTCATTATTTGGGATACAGTCTGAACTCAATGAAATTCTGCCAATGCTCTTAGGACTCCAATGCTCTTACCAACTCCTGTTGGTGAACCTTAACGTTCACAAGGTGGTTGTTTGTTTGTTTTTGTTAATTGTAGGGCTTGAACTCTGGGCCTAGATGCTGTCCCTGAGCTTCACAGCTGAAGTCAAGTGCTCTACCACTTGAGTAGAGCTCTACTTCCAGTTTTCTGAGTGGCTTATTAGAGATAAGAATCTCATGGACTTTCCTGCCCAGGCTGGCTTTGAACCGTGATCCTCAGATCTTAGCCTCAGATCTTAGCCTCCCGAGTAGCTAGGATTACAGCCACCAGCACTCTGCCACAGGTGTTTATCTAATGATCAAGTCCTAGGATCTGCTAGTGGCCCATGAAAAAAAACACAAATAGGAGGGATGGCTATGCTAGTCAATCCCCTGGGGCCTAAGATCATTGTTGGTGCTCTGTACTGCTTTTCTTTCTCCTATGAGGGAATGTGACCAATAGCTGAAGACAATGACCCTCCAGTCAAATACACCAAAGTCAGTGTTACAGCTCACCAGAGAGAGAACAGAGGTATGGTCTTTAGAAAAGAGAATTCCTGTTCTATTAAGTTAAATCGACTGTGTGGCCACTTTTGCAATTATATAATAAATATGGATCCATTATAATACTTATCTTCTATATATACACAATCATATTTCATATGCAACTCTATAACTAATCAAGGAAAAAAATGATATGGTTTTAAAAATAAAAAGGAGGGACATACCAGGACACACACTTTCAGTAATACTAAAAGTTCTAAAGAGGATACAAATGCACAGACTCAGCCTCAGCTAGACCAGTCCACAGTTGTTCCTTTAGAGCTTGATTGTGGGCCATGCGCTCTCCTGACTGCCAGTCCAGCTGCCCATAGAATCTCAGTGTGAACACAGAGATGTAAACACAGAGTGACAATGAAAGGCTGTCACTCAGTGCTCTAATGAAGATTAGCCTAGATGCCAGACGCCCCTGGGTCATAGCTTAGCTTCCTCAACATTAGCTCTGACTCAGGAGACTGAATTTTTTTTTTCTTTTTAGTTTTTTCTTATTGTGAAAATACTGTACAGAGGGGTTACAATTACATGAGCAAGGTAATGAATACATTTCTTATCAAGCATTGTTGCCTCCTCCTTTGTTT